CGAGGTGATCCTGAACCTTGTCAAAATCCGCCGAAACGCAGCAGTCATGGATGAGCTGGACGTGGCGTGTTCATTTGCAACTCTCGCCCAGGAACAGCAAATGGTACGGCCGATTCTCAATGACGGTACCTGTCACAATATTGTGGGTGGACGACATCCCACGGTCAAACTGGGTTTGGAGGAACAAGGGCGATCGTTCGTGAGCAATGATTGCTTCTTGGGTGATTCTGAGCGGATCTGGCTCATTACTGGCCCCAATATGGCAGGTAAAAGTACCTTCTTGCGACAAAACGCTCTAATTACAATCCTCGCCCAAATCGGATCTTTTGTACCCGCAGCTTATGCCGAGATCGGTATCGTGGATCAGATCTTCAGCCGAATTGGTGCAGCGGATGACCTCTTCCGTGACCAGTCGACCTTCATGGTGGAGATGTTGGAAACGGCTACTATTCTCAAACAAGCCACGCCCAAGTCATTTGTGATCATGGATGAGGTGGGCCGAGGCACAACGCCCGAAGACGGTACAGCTGTTAGCTTTGCATGCCTACACCATTTACACTATCATAACCAGTCTCGGGTGCTTTTTGCTACTCATTTCCATGCCCTTGCGGATATGACGGAGGACTTTGACAAATTGGCGAGATACTGCACGGATGTGAAAACTACGGCTTCGGGTGCCTTCTCTTTCGTCCACCGACTGCGGAAAGGCGTCAATCGCCAGTCTCATGCTCTGAAGGTTGCCCAACTGGCTGGTTTGCCCAAAGAGACCCTCGAGCTTGCTATGCGGGTCCGCCAGGAAATGAAGGATGGAATTCCACCATCTCGAGTTGCTGATGGGGATGAACCCTAGCATCAGCGTGCTGGAGGCGAAATGTTGTGGCTAACGTGTATCACTTGAAGGTACCCGGTTCTCGCCAAGTAACCCAATCATACCCGAATGGGGATTGGGTTACTTGGCGAGAACCGGGTACTATGTGTCAAGAATGGGATATGGCCCCTCTAGGCCCTAAACAAGAACCTTGGTTTTTGTTATGGTCTAGTGGTAAATTACGCTGTACGAAATTCAACACCATGTAAGATATTTATGTACAATTTTCGGCTTCTCCTGTTAAAGATACCACTAAATCAGAGAGCAAGGTTGGCAAATGCCTTACTCGCATCTTTTTTTTTTTTCAATCCAACTGTCGGAGTCTTCGCTTTCACCCTAGGAACCCAACTTTTGCGATTGTTTCGTAGACATTCATTTACACATCAAAGCTTAGGTGACCACAACCTCGGACCCTTCTCAATCCGACCGTGTTGACCTTCGCGACCAAGATCAACAACAAGACCCTCCTTAAACGCAACCTCCTGGCAATCCTCACTCCCAACCCCATTAACAAACTGCACAACAACAAAATCAATCCTCCTATGACCCAAAACTACCATGGGGGCATGCCACGTGCCAACACCATAAGTCACAGCCTGACCAGCACGCGCCACAAACGCCTTAATATTATTCAGATCCGGCGGGTCACGAATGGTGACCGTCTCGCCGGCCTCATTCTCCGCGGTAGCAGTCCTCCACTTTAAAGTGGGGGCAACCACTATCAAAAACAACGGCTCTTCCTCATCATTCCCGACCTTGGAATGGGCGGACAAATCGACCGGGATGAAAGTTTGATTAGTAAACGGGTGGCGCTCAAGGATCCGCACGTCAAAGACCTCCCGGTCTGGCATCTGGGGGCCGCCGCTGACAGTGCGCAAAACGCGCGGGAAGCAGCAAAACATGGTCATGCGTGCCTCGGAGGGCTGCCCGCTTGGACATAAATTGGTGTATCGGTCGATGAGCGGGGAGATGGGACTGTATTTGAGAGCGGAGTTTTGGTTCGCCAGTACCGGGGTTGGGTTATGTGGCGGTAGACATGATGATTCAGGGGCGATATTTAGTTCTCTCGGTAATGGGGAGACCACTGCTGTACCGAACGGTGCGAAATTCTCCGCTGTCAGAGGCTCCGGAGTGAGTGTGACTGTCGGGTTGGATGTGAGGACCGACAACATAGTGAGCTTTTAGGTGTAGGTGTGTGTGGATGTGTGTGTTGGTCAATCGCTTCGTGTTCGCCACTTGCTAGCGTGCAGGTCTACAGCTTTATGGGAGAGAAAAAGAAAGAAAAGGAAATTGGATTGGATGTGGTTTATGAAGCTAATGCCGGCGGCGTCCTCCGGCGATAAGATAAGCGGCCGAGACCCTTTTTTGGATATATTTTGGATTCATTTTTATACAACTTGGAGAATACTACTCGGGGAACTATATAAATAGGCTGTTTGCAACCATTCTCTTTTGATTATTTTGCCGTTGATGTCAGCTCAAGTGGCAAGTTTCATGGTGTGTTGCCGCTTAGCTCGTCCATCTCCATCTCGTCCAACTCGTTCAAGCGTGATAAAATACACCAATTTCTTTTGCAAAATTATACAAGGTCTCTACACATAAAAGGAGCTAATTCAAAGATATCGTGGCATTGAAGTCCGTGCAGAGGACCCTTGGGATTTTATGACAATTTTCTCGTACCCAGATAGACATACATAGATAATACACAGTACATGGGAGTCACCTTATGATATGCATGCATAGATTAGATCTATCAATGTCGGTGTAAGAGCCATATATGCATTTTGATGTACAATCATGTACTCTGCAACCCTGGAGTACTTGACCGGTTATTACAGGTAGATCTAAAAGACAACAGGATCTTTCGGGATATACGCGGAATGACGACGATAATAGCTATTGGCTTACTATAGGTCCGTTGCTCCGGGACTGATATGCAATATAGAACTGCATGAAGTTCACACAGCGGTGACTCAATTCTCGTTGTCTTGCTCTTGGTCAATGCTATAGGAAATACTTAGGTATAAAGCATTCCTCCTGAGAGCTCGGCTCATTCTATCCTCCTTCTGATATTCAAAGGAACCTACTCGTGCTTCGACCCTACTTAGGATATAGTATTCTAAGTGGCAAAGAAATATTTCCAGTGCAATATATAACAAACGCAACAATGAATTCTTCCAATCAATCTTCTCCCCAGCAACCATCTACCGCCAATACAGGCAGTTCAACTGCTGCCGCTGCAAGCTCATCCACTCCTCTAACAAGTTCTACCTATACTTATACAGAGAAACCATTAAGGTAAGACAAATATCTATTATCTCGACTATTCGAAAGTGCTGATACGGACTCGACAACTCAAATAGTGACGACGAAAACTTCCAACGAAACACAGACCACATGGGTGGTTGGATCAAAGACCTCAACCACCCGAATCAATTGTCATTGTCTAACTGAGTAGGCAACCAATTCCACTCAGCTTTAACTCCACGGACATGTCAACAATGCGGCTATTTGATGGGTCTGAAAATGATACATGCAAGAAACGGCGAGCTGGTTCGTGCCTGAAGGATTGTCGATAAATTCACTCATGCATTCAAATTCCGAACACGCCCGAAATTGACAGTCTTATTCTTCTTATGACGCCTATTCGGAGAAATGGCGCACTGATGCATGTATATTTGGAGTGGGAGACCCCTGGGACTGATACGAACATATGACGTGGTTTTCTATTCTCTATCCTCTATTTTCTATTTTCTTTTATCTCTGTCTTTGTCCTTTCTTTGGACGACAAACATGTGATAGGACAAAAATTGAGGGGGAGAGTGACTAGGGTATGCAGCCACTAATCGTCTTGCATGGTATGCCAGCGAATTGATAGATGGCAACATTTCCGAGATATTCGACGCCATGAGAACGGAGGTCAACACCGAATAAGGAATATGATTTTTAGCCGAGGATGGACATGCTATGTGTTGTCTTTGATGTGTTTCCCCTCTTTTTTTTCCTATCTCGGGCAATTAGCCTCCGTATTCGTTATTAAAATGTTAATATTATGCGTGGTGCTAGTGGTGCTAGTGATGCGGGTCACCAACTTATTTGATTTGGGGTGGAATCATTTGAAACGTGCATATAGATGTAACATCAAGTCATATGCTTGATGCAGTCGTGCCCAAAGTAAGCTTGTGGGATTTTAGCGTCATAATGGAGTCAGATACAGCAAGGATGGCATAGCCAAGCTGCTAGTTTGCCGCTCACTCTGGTAGGACTGGAAAAAGCCCTTAGCACGTATGAAGCTCTATCCCCGAGCCACTTTATGCGTAAAGTATAATCAATTCCACACTCTGCCAAGCTCATACCTACATGCAGTTAGTTATAGTTAACCAGTAGCAGCCTGAGGGAAAAGGCATGCTCGGAGTAAACAACTGAGAACTTCACCTTCCGGGGACATAGAATCCTTCTACAAGAGTGATCTATGAGCTAACGACTTGAAATCGACACATCTCTCTCCGATAGAACAAGGAAATACGTCTTTGGATAGAAACCCGATGACGGATATTGATTGATCAAATCGGGCAGACTATGGAATGAAAGGCCTGGATAATCCCTAGTTAGACGGTCATATATTCGCTCCTGGCTTTCCATCTCCCGGCAGGGAATCAAGTCTTCGCTTTCGCATCCCATGTAAGTCCATTCAGCGAGCAATAAATTCGATTTGCTCGCCTTTTACTGTCATCGCCGAAAGGATTCATCTTATTGTAACATAAACCCGAGCGATGGCAATTGCCATTCGTTTCCCATTGCTTGATCATAGCATAGATGATGGCAGGACTGGACTCCCCAATATCGACGGTGACTGATAGAGCCGGACCAGACTCATATAAGTGGGCCGTATCGATCAAGCAAGATATCTTCCTTCTGATCAATTTACCGAGTGTGAGGCCTAGGTGTGCTGCATCGCAACTCTCAGAACACCGAGCTGGACCTTTCAACAGCCTTGAAATGTGTTCTTTGATCATTAATTCGAATTTTTCGATGCATTCCTGTCTACGTTGATCGATTACGTCTAGAAGTGCACGATTAGTGATTTTTCACATGAATCTCATCTCAAAATAAATGCAACGTTCTATTTTGTTCACATACCTTTGACGGAATTTGGAATCGGGAGATTGCTTGTGTCAAATGGCCCTGTTGCTTGCTGTATGGCAATTTTTGTTGTTTTTTGGAAGATCATGGAGTGGGACCGGAAGACACAGGAGATCATCATCCATATTTTCATGTCTTGTGAAAATGAAGACGGAACAAGCGACTCCAGGGCTTGTATCCAGATACCAGCAAACACTTCGACCACCTCGTTGCATTGAAAAAAATCGGTGGCCACGGCGATATCACTCAATTGCGGTAGGGTCAGCTTCAGGGGAACTTGTCGTGAACGTCCATGGATGAGGTTCAAAAGGACCAGAAGGATATCTGGTTTGCAGTCGTTGACGGGAATCTCAACAGATCCCTTCTTTGAAAGAGCACCCCCTTCAGCCCAACAATCTTTCAGCATTCGCTTGAAATAAGCCGATGCTAGTGCTAGGTGCTTCGATGAGACTTGGAAGCGAGCGTAATTTCCCGGCACATTGCCTTTGCTGAAGTCAATCAGGGGGGTTTCTGGTGTGAAGAGAATAATATCTCCATCCGAATCAACCTGATAGGGCGGATGCAAGTCAGGTGCCACTACAGCAGTCAATATGGGTCTAGTGCCCTCCTGTTCCTGAGTCGAAGCCGTGGTTGTAGCCGATGATGACTTTCCCAAATCAAAGCCACGCAGTGATTCTTTTTTGCGCGGTGGCATTACGGCTGTAGGTATGTTGAGGGATATTCAACTTGGCCAACTTCAACAGAGAGAAGAGAATGGGGAGCAAGACAGAGAAAATAAACTCGTATTTATGTTGTCGGAAATGAGGCGTAAGCAAAATTAAAAGGATCATTTGCATATCTACAGTGAAGTACAGCGACACGTTGGACACATTCTATTACTGTACGATATAATGAAGGATGACCAAAAATACCTGGCTTTAGGCATACAGAGATATGTTGACTTTCCTGGGAGGGGGGTCTTTACTCTTTGTATAGCAGGATACCCAAGAACTAGTCTCTATGTACAGCGTTCCGCCTATAAATATGTTTATTAAAGGGCAGTTCAGGGTCAATAATAGATCTCAGGTACAATTTTTACATGCTAGCGTGAGTTGATCATGACAGTAATTCCAAAGCCTAAGCTTCGTATCATCAGTAGCGCTTAGCACCGGTGTTTTTGTAAGAGTCGACTAGCAAAATTCAAAAGGATGTGTCTTGATGGCTTGGTAAGGGATACTCAAATGATAAATCCATTCATATATGCCCATTCCAACTATGCTATAATTGGAAAATGTAAATGAATTCCGAGAGCTACCGTAGTAACGGCACCATTGTGATAATGACTAGGCTTCACATTTGAGAGTGAAGGGTAACAGTAATGAAGACACCACATCAGAAATACTCTTCAGGCAAGAGAATATCTCTGGGTAACATATTGTTCGGCTCTGCAGCGGCGCGTACATCATCGTGGTGTATTGGGTAGCGATTGAGTCACAGCGGTTGCTCAAAAAAGTCTCAATTAAAACACCAGGGGGTGTTTCGAGCAGTTTGGCTCACAACTTATGATACTCGCTAATGGTAAGCCAGAGTATATCAATATTCCTGCCTTCTGGTGACAGAGAAACGGACTCCCATGGCAGGGAAGGTTTAAAGACGCCGTAGCAAGTTTAAATCAAGTAGCATTCTCTCCTTTTGCGTCAAATTTTGCTTTCTTGGCTCGTCGTTTGATTTCTCTCTTGGACAAAGGCTTGTCAGCATCCTCGCCGACAGGCTCAGAACTGATAGAAGCCTTCCTCTTGAGATTGTCCACTCCATTTTCTGGCTGCACAGGTTCTTTGGCTTTGGGGTTATTCTTTTGCTTTGGCGTAGATCCTTCGGGTTTGACTTTCTCCCCACCATTGACGATATCCACGATGCCTCGCCAACTGGTTCGCTTCAACTTAGCCAACGCGGTCACCTTTCGCGACTCTTCGCAGACTGCTTCCTTTCCACGCTCTTGTGATAGACCCCAAACACAGGCAAGATTGATCACGTCCCACGGGGCTCGTAGACCTAAAGCTCGTCTTGCTTCGCTAGACACAATGATGCCTCGACCGCGTGTCGCGCGGATCAAGGATGTTGCATTCCCAATGAGGTTCCTTCGAGCGTCAAGTCCACTCCCCGTGATCCCTGGCCCATAGCAGATCTCGATGCGAACTCCACGTGAGATTGCCGCAGACAGCATCTTGAATTTGAAGTGGTATGGGAGTCGCACCGAGAGATCCACGGAGATCACGTCGCATTCCAAGTTGGTGCATGCATTTAGAAGTGACTTTTCATTCGTGGGACGGAGAGCAACGATGTCGTACGCTTGACTCAGCGCGTTTAGGCGCTGATTCTGCGCGGGATCGGCCAGAGTCAGGTTCAACCGGGTCAGCAGTTGGAGAGATTTCGGCGCGTTTGTTGGAAGCGGAGGTGGAGCGAGGCTTGGGGGGAGCTTCCCGTTGATTGTTTGAGACAGGGCTACGGTAGTGTAACCAACTAAAAAGTCAGGTCAGTCCCTCATGTGCTCCAACCTGCGGATCTTGTGCCGCAGAGCGGAATGAATGACTTACGCTCGGCAAGGAAATTCAGAGTATGGGGCACCTCCGGGTCATCGGGGCTGTAAGGTACATTCAGGTCGTAAAACATGGTGAATTTAAAGGAAGGTCAGCCCTGCCCGTGGAAGTTATTGCTTTACTTCTCAGCGCTCTTGGTCACATCGAACTGTCCCAAAAAGGCAATCAGAAAATCTATCGGATTAACAGAGGATCCGTCAGTACGCTAACTGCTTTAGGTCGGGTCCCCACAAACCTCTCTGATCCCGTGACCTCAGGCGGAACCGATCTCGTTCTACTGATCATATCACGACAATATCTCACTTCGTCCATCCCATTGCTCAAGGCTTCTTGTGAGCACTGTGTTTGGGCTGAATAGTCGCTGGGCCTGTTGCTACCTGTCTCCTACGTCTACCTAATCCCCGACCCCTTCCTCCGTCGCACGGCCGAGCCCCTCGTGACCCCGCCGCACATCTTTCAATTGTGGCCGCACTCGGAAACCGCCTGTCATCGTCAAGATGGCGCGTGTCTATGCCGATGTCAACGAGCATATGCCTCGGTCCTACTGGGATTATGATAGTGTCAACATCTCTTGGGGTGTCCTTGAAAATTATGAAATCGTTCGCAAGATAGGTGAGAGATGATGAAACCTGTCCTTCTGCAGCATGTCGGAGATGGTTGCCGCTGTGAACTGCGGGTGAAATTTGAGAACAAGCTTTCTGACTTTCTACTTTAGGTCGGGGAAAGTACTCCGAGGTTTTCGAGGGTATCAACGTCGTCAACTACCAAAAATGCGTTATCAAAGTCCTCAAGCCCGTCAAGAAGAAGAAGATCAAGCGTGAGATCAAGATTTTGCAGAATCTCGCGGGTGGGCCCAATGTCGTGGCATTGCTGGACGTTGTTCGCGATAACCAGAGCAAGACTCCTAGTCTAGTGTTCGAAGCTATCAACAACACCGACTTCCGCACACTGTACCCTCGCTTTTCCGATTACGATGTTCGCTTCTATGTTTTCGAGCTGCTTAAGGCGTTAGACTTCTGCCACAGCAAGGGTATTATGCATCGGGATGTGAAGCCCCACAATGTCATGATTGATCATGAAAAGCGCAAGGTTAGTGGGCTTATCAATTAGTTGTGGCGGAAATCATGAATCTAACATGTTATAGCTTCGTCTGATTGATTGGGGTCTGGCTGAGTTCTACCACAAGGGCACGGAATATAACGTCCGTGTTGCATCTCGGTATTTCAAGGGCCCCGAGCTGCTGGTTGATTTCCAGGAATACGACTATTCTTTGGATATGTGGTCCCTAGGGGCTATGTTCGCATCCATGATCTTCCGTAAGGAGCCTTTCTTCCACGGAGGCAGCAATACGGACCAGTTGGTCAAGATTGCCAAGGTCCTTGGTACTGAAGAGCTGTTTGAGTACTTGGACAAGTACGACATTGAACTGGACCCGCAATACGACGACATCCTCTCCCGTTTCCCTCGGAAGCCATGGCACTCATTTGTCAACGCAGAGAACCAGCGTTTCATCAGTGACGAGGCCATTGACTTCCTTGACAAGCTTCTGCGCTACGATCATGCCGTACGTTGTGATTAACATCTCTATTAATGTTCTATGCTGACTTCTCAAAGGACCGCTTGACTGCTCAAGAGGCAATGGCACACGCATACTTTGATCCTGTGCGTGCTGATGCAGCTGCCCTTAGCCACAACAATGTGACACTCCCCTGAATTCCTCTCGCATGAACTGTTGATGATCATGGTTCTGATCCTTTTACTGCGATGCCCGGCTTCCAAGTTCTCCGCATGCTGCCATCAAGATTTTGTCGGGCATCACAATAATTACGTACCTCTTACATTTGAAATTTGCTGATATGAACGGCACAACGATGATCGAAAACATGAAATGGCTTGATCTTCGTACTTCCTGTTCCTCTTCTCACTGGCCGTTCGATGATGGGCTGCGGCAAACGATCAAATCCTGAATGAAGACGACTTCGATGACAAGACATCATGACATTTAATTTGCTGGTTCCCTCCAAGCCTCTTATCGCCTAGGTCGTTTGGCGTGTCAATGAGCGTGATAAACCAACGTCTTAGATGGGGCAATCGCTCTTCTTTTTCATCTTTTCCTATTTGTATAGCGCTCGTGGGTCTCCCTAATTGATTTCTCCCTTGTTAGTTAAATTGGTGTTTTGGCCTTTCTGTTGGGTGCTTCGTGTTTCAAGGGATGCTTTTTCCTAAGACAACCCATTGCATTTTCTTAATGTTTCTCTTTTTATGAATGAAACATTGGACGAGATACAAAAAAGAAGTTTCAAGAGACCCTAGAATTGCAATTTGTATGGATTGAACATTGTAGGTAGGGTTCTATGTATGACGCGTATAATATGACTCGACCCATGGATAGAATGACATGGTATAACTATATAGACTCAGACCATAAAACAGATATCAAGTATGAATAACCTCCAATTCAGTAAATACAATTCAGTAAATAATCCCAATCTTCCTCTTCCAATCCGGTTCTTATAGATGTAGCCTCAGATCACCCGTTGGCTCCAGCGTATCACGTGAGGGTTATCGCGATGTCGTCCTGGCCGAACAAATACAAGAAAAGACGAATTGCAACAAAGAACACGCGAAGAAAGGAACATAAGATACCCAATAATACCCAATGAGTGTTGACTCATATAAACGCGCTTCATTGACCTGCCCGCCGACTCCACCGAACCTCCCACCAAGCCCCGCGCTCTCATTCGTTCATTCAGCGTTGGAAATTTAATTGCCCGCATTTCGCACAACCACCCCTCCTTATACCTCTCCATCTCTCAAGATACTTATCCGGCGATTCGTGGCGCGATCGGCGCCTTGGAGATTTACTCCTCACTATCGTGCATTCTCCAGGATGGCTCAAAACTCTGCCTCCCAAACCCCCAGTGAGTTTCATGACTCATTCTCAAATGTCGCAGAAGCTTATAGTGAATAGCGGGTGAGCCTACGGCTCCCGTGACTAGTGCAACCCCCCAGGTCGACGAACAGACTCGCGCCGAGTTCGCCGATGTTGCCGCAAAGGCCCCCCAGAATCCGCAGGGCGGACCGGCCGGCGCTCCCAAGGTGAAGACCGAGAAAGAGTGTATGTTACCACCAAGATCTATATTCGGACCTTTCCTCGGAAGTCGTTTTTATATAATGAGCATTTGCTGATACTGTGGGTGATTACTAGTGGAAAAGGAACGCAAGAAGGCCGAAAAGAACAAGAAGTTCGAAGAGAGGCAAGCGGCCAAGGCCAAGGCTGCCGCCAGCAAGGCCGCGGCTCCCAAAGTCGAGAAGAAGGTGAAACCCGAGAAGGACAAGACCGCCGATGCCTACGATCCCATTTCCATCGAAGCCGGTCGTCTCGAATGGTGGGAGGAGCGTGATCTCTTCAAGCCCGAATTCGGACCTGATGGCAAGGTTAAGCCGGAAGGCTCCTTCGTCATCCCCATTCCCCCTCCCAATGTTACCGGTTCTCTTCACATGGGCCATGCCCTTACCAACGCCCTCCAGGACACCATGATCCGGTGGCAAAGAATGAAGGGCAAGACTACCCTGTGGCTTCCCGGAATGGACCACGCCGGTATCTCGACTCAGAGCGTCGTCGAGAAGATGTTGTGGAAGAAGGAAAAGAAGACCCGTCACGATATTGGCCGAGAGGCCATGGTCAACTTGATCTGGGATTGGAAAGATGAATACCACAAGAACATCAAGAACGCCCTGCGCAGACTTGGTGGTTCGTTCGACTGGAGCCGTGAGGCCTTCACCATGGACCCCAACCTGTCAGCTGCTGTGACCGAGACCTTCGTTCGCCTCCACGAGGAGGGTATTATCTACCGTGCCAACCGCCTGGTCAACTGGTGTGTGGCTCTGAACACCTCTTTGTCTAACCTTGAGGTCGAGAACAAGGAAATCGAGGGCCGCACACTTCTCGATGTGCCTGGCTACGACAAGAAGGTCGAGTTCGGTGTTCTGACTCACTTCTGCTACGAGGTTGATGGAACTACCGAGCGTATCGAGATTGCTACTACTCGTCCTGAGACCATGGTTGGTGATACCGGTATTGCCGTCCACCCCGACGACAAGCGCTACCAGCATTTGATCGGCAAGAACGCTCGCCATCCTTTCTTGGACCGTCTGATCCCTATCTTTGCTGACACCGATGTCGACCCCGAATTCGGTACTGGTGCCGTCAAGATCACCCCCGCCCACGACTTTAACGATTTCAACCGTGGTAAGGCCCACAACCTGGAGTTCATCTCTGTCATGAACGACGATGGTACCTTCAACAAGAATGCTGGTCCCTTTGCCGGCATGAAGCGCTTTGATGCCCGTTACAAGGTCATCGAGGACCTTAAGGAGAAAGGTCTGTACGTCAAGTGGGAGCACAACCCCATGAAAGTGCCTCGTTGCGCCAAGTCCAACGATGTCATTGAGCCTATAATGAAGCCGCAATGGTGGATGAAGATGGAAAGCCTGGTTCAGCCTGCCATTGATGCCGTTGAGAATGGCGATATCGTTATCCGCCCCGAGTCCGCTGAGAAGAGCTACTTCCGCTGGATGCGAAACCTCAACGATTGGTGTCTGTCCCGTCAGCTCTGGTGGGGACACCAGGCTCCTGCTTACTTCGTCAAGATCGAAGGCGAGGAGGGCGATGACAGTGACGGTAACCTCTGGGTCACTGGCCGTACCGAGGAGGATGCTCGCAAGAAGGCCGAGGAGAAGTTCCCCGGCAAGAAGTTCTCTCTGGTCCGTGATCCCGATGTTCTCGACACTTGGTTCTCTTCTGGCCTGTGGCCCTTCTCTACTCTGGGCTGGCCCCGCCAGACTCACGACTTCGAGAACCTGTACCCCACCTCTGTTCTGGAGACTGGTTGGGATATTCTCTTCTTCTGGGTTGCCCGTATGATCATGCTGGGTATTAAGATGACTGGTCAGGTTCCTTTCCGTGAGGTCTACTGCCACTCTCTCATCAGAGATTCCGATGGCCGCAAGATGTCCAAGTCTCTGGGCAACGTTATCGATCCTCTGGATGTTATGGAGGGTATTCAGCTGCAGACTCTTCACGACAAGCTGCAGTTGGGCAACATTGCCGATAAGGAGATTGCTGCTGCTACCAGATACCAGAAGAAGGCCTTCCCCAAGGGTATCCCCGAGTGTGGCGCCGATGCTCTCCGCTTCGCCCTTGTCTCTTACACCACCGGTGGTAGGTTTCATCTCATGTCCTTGTTTGATTCCATTTACTAATCGTATTTTGCAGGAGGTGATATTGCTTTCGATATCCAGGTCATTCACGGCTACCGTAAGTTCTGTAACAAGATCTACCAGGCTACCAAGTTCGTCCTCGGCAAGCTTGGCGATGACTTCAAGCCCCAGGCTGGTGTTAAGAAGACTGGCCATGAATCCCTTTCCGAGCGCTGGATTCTGCACAAGTTCAACATTGCCGCCAAGGAGATGAACGAGGTCCTTGAGCAGCGTGATTTCTCCAACTCCGCTCAGATCTCCTATCAGTACTGGTACTCCCAGCTGTGTGATGTGTTCATCGAGAACTCTAAGTACCTGCTGGCGGATGATGCCTCGGCTGAAACCAAGGAGTCTGCCAAGCAGACCCTCTACACAGCCCTCGAGGGTGGCCTAACCTTGATACACCCCATCATGCCGTTCGTCACCGAGCACCTGTGGCAGCGTCTACCCCGCCGCGAAGGTGATAAGACCATCTCGATCATGAAGGCCAAGTACCCTGAGTACATCGCCGAATTCGACGATCCCGCCGCCGCCGACGCCTACGAGCTTATTCTCAACACCTCCAAGGCCATCCGCTCGATCCTGTCTCAGTACGACGTCAAGACCCAGGGTGATATTATCATCCAGACCTACAACACTACCAGCGAAAAGACCGTGTCTGGGGAGATGACCACCATCAAGTCTCTGGGTGGTAAGACCCTCGGCGAGCTGTCTCACCTCGGCCCGGAGAACAAGAACCCTCCCTCTGGCTGCGTGGTGGCTGCTGTCGGCTCTGATGCCGCTGTCTACCTCCGTGTCTCCAAGGAGGTTGCGCTAGAGCAGGAAGAGAAGGCTAAGGCTAGCCTGGCCAAGGCCCGTGAGACTGTTCGCAGGTCTCAGGGTATTATCAACGGCGCTGGCTGGAAGGAGAAGGTCAAGGCCGAGGTCCGTGAGCAGGAGGAGAAGCGTCTGCGTGATGCTGAGGGCGAGGCTGCCCGTCTCGAGGAGCAGGTTAAGGAGTTTGAGAAGTTGCGTCTGGAGTAAATTGTCCATCATTGGATAGAGTTAAACAAAATACATCAATTTATCCCCCTCTTTCAACCGTGCATTCACTGTAGAGTCGTATCCCAGTTAATCAGTAATTACCCATGTAAGAGTGTTCCAATAGTAACCTGCACTCCGGCTCGCCCAGAACCGGTGCAGCCGATGCGATGTGCATCGGATTAATGTATGATATACGAGTCATTAATCACTTTCATTCAACAGCATCCGATGTTGTCATTGATATTCCTATTGTGTATTCGGCATGTTTTCTGCAGTCCGTATATATGCGCTGTGCGAAGAGATTATCGAACTTAAATTCTCTGGTATTACAATAATATTAACATCTTTGCAAGATCTCATTTCATTGCAATCCATTAATTTAGTATAGCTGTTTCATCTGTACTTTTTCCAACACATCCATGTGGCGATATATATCATCGGATGGCATAGCAAAGTTATACAGCGCGGACAATATATAGCAAATATACGCGATTATTTAGGGCAGAAAGGTTGTAGTTCTGCATACTAAAAACAAAAGCACTTTCTATATTCGATATAAGATTCAATAAAAAGAATTACCTCTGCTCTATTCAAAAGGACAAAAAACATAGTTTCCCTGGGAATCGAACCCAGAACCTTTCCGGAACATCAGCGAATCGCATTTGTTAACGGAAAATCATAACCGCTAGACCAGGAAACTGCTCGACCACTTGGGCCAATTGATGAATGGAAAGGCCATTATTGGCATCATGACTCTATAACTTTGTTCTCAATTATTTAGGTCCGGAGTAACAGAACGAATTTGTTTCGCCAACCTTCCAACATTCGAAAGTGGGCAATATTCAAACCACAGCGGCGAGACTCCCAATGGCTCTTAATAACGGAGTATTCTGCTCTGCATAGGAACCATCTAGACCCAATATGAATCGAGGATACATTTTCACTTATGGATACCATATGCTGCCGAGCACATATTCGAAGCTCAAAACTACAGAATAACCTGAAGCTTAGGAGTATTTACCAGGTCTTGAAATTACAGTCTACCCCTTGTGGCTTAGATATATGTGGCTGAACCCGGGTAACCCTATGTCAATACCTAGTCGGCCATTGCCTATTTAGGTAACGAAAAAAGGACTACGGAGTATGCCATTCGCTATATTCCGCGTATCTATGGCTTATCAAGGAGAAACCAACAGATAGTGTTCGAGGTCACATGACCTCTCCGCTCTCCCAACAACCATTTAGTCCCAGCAGATAGCTTCCTTTTCCTCCCCACGCAACTCAAGAGATTTTCCAGACCACCTACGTTTTCATCCGTAGTATTCTAGATTCCATCTCCCACACTTAGGGTGTCGTAAAGCAAACAGCCGATGGAAGCCTGAAAAGCAAGGTACAAGTGCCAAACACTTTCTTCATCGTGCGTTCTTATTTCCCCTCCCTTTGCTCTTCTATTCTCTTCTATTCTCTTAGTATTTCTTGCATTATTACATACATAAGTATATAAATTCGGCGACCAAAACGGTGTCCATCTACTCAACCTCACCAAACCACCTCGCTAGGAGAATGGCAACGAACCTCCCCCCAGAACTGTTGATTCAGATCGCAAAGCTTCTGAAAGATGATGACGCCTCCCTGGCCCCATGTACTTCTGTATGCCGATCTTGGCAGATGGCTTTTGAGCCCCTCCTGTACTCCGAGCTGCTTGTTTACAGCGACGAAGACCACAAAGAAGAGGAACCATTAGGAATGTCTCTCACAAAGTTTCAGAAACTCACATCCGGCTCTCATGCCATAAGGCGATCCTGGATCCGAAAGTTGCAGTATGATATCTTCGTCCCATTCAAGATTTCTGACTGGATCACACAAAACTGGAACACACGCAAAAAGAAAGACGAAGAAGACTACAGTACCTCAAATCCTACCAAGGAGCCGAACGTTCTAGCTTTCCAAACGGCGATGGCTAGCCTTTTCCAAACGCTTTCCTCATGGGGCCAGACTGGCTGCCTCACCTTACAACTAAGACTTGAGGGATATCGCCTAGGTGAATACTATGAAGAGTGTGCAGGGATTTATGCTTACAGCTACACAGATGGATCCCAAAAGGAGGTTCCCCCATACTTGGTGCGATTTGCTGATGTGGGAAGTTTATCGCATGTTCCCTGCATTGATAAACTTTTTCTCTCAACGACGATGGTCAGAATCATCAAATCTGGACCAAAGCAGCGAAAACAATCATCGAACACTGTCCAAATGTCACAAACGTAACGCTGAGCTTCTACGAGTGGATTCCATCTGACTCGATATATATGGAAAAAGATAGGACAGGTAAACTGTGTCCCCTTTCCTCCCTATAACCGACATGTTTCTAATACTAGCAATATAGCGATGTCTTCTCTAATCAGTGTGATTCCCAGGAGCCTACATACATTTACCTTCATAATTAGGTGTCAAAGGCGAGGGCGAAACAAGCCGCCTACCCTGAGTGCCATCCCTTCAGGCGTTGACAGATTGGCAATCAACTTGAGAGATTTCAGCACCTGCCTTCGGGTACTCTTGTTGGAAAATCCTACCCTCCCACTTGACCTTATGTGGCCTTTGAATAAAGAAGGCGAGCCAATACCGGAGAGAGGCTCGTTGTGGTGGCCATATCTGGAAACATGGCAGGCTGATTTCATAGACCCTTGGCGTCCTTCAGGTGATTACTCCACACAACTTAGCACGTAGATGGCCACTGACAGTGGCTAATTGAACAGGAGAATACGTTGTCCTCCCAGACGCCGATGAGCAGGCCAAAATTGACGGCTGGGATGACGACCCCGAGCAAATGCTACTGGAAGTAGATCAATTCCACCGACTTTTCATCTCACTAGGCTACGCCGCCCAACACATGCCTCGTTTAAAGCGTATGCAATGTCCTATGCAATTCAGGTGGGAGTTGTCTAATTGGTTTCAATTTTGCTTTGTCAACAACGCCGATGGGATTACCTTGACATGGGAATGTAATTTTGGCTATCTGCCGGATAGCCGGGTTGAAAGAGCCTGGGGATTTTGCTCGGATGATCTGATGACTGGACAAGGGACGTGTTCTGGGATGAAGATGTGTTGTGTGACGCTGCCGAGGTGGCCTCCTGATGAGACTGTCTAAGTTCAGGACCTGGGTCGTGTCTACAAGTTGATGGATTCCTGAATGGGAGAGGAAAGAAGGCTGTGTGGGAGATTTCAATATGCACTTCCCACGATTACGAGAATGGAAATGAAGACATTACACTTATGCGTTAGATGTGATTGAGAAAGCAATATCAACAGTTTTTACTATTGCAGTGCCTAGGCCAGGCCGTGCAAGCATTAAGATTAGACAACTAATTTATGTTTCTGATCTCTTCGAACTCGGTGACTTCATTCTAGCTTTGGTAAGAACTATAAAATAAGAAATTCAGTTGCAAATAGGAGAAAGTAAGGGTTAGTCAGGTATATCAACTCACATCCCACCTTTCTATTCCTTTCCTCGTTGCTGAGCAGAAGACATACGGTTGACAAAATGAATAGCAGATGTACTTAGGGATTAGATCTAGGAGATGCGGCTCAAAGATTTCTCTGTAGCCTCCGGCCAAGAACTCTTCCAAGTCCGTCCGGGCCCCCATCCCCCCAAAAGTGAAGTAAGACCGGAAAGTAAATAGATCAACGACCGCGGTGAAGTTCTGAGAGAACAAAGAACAAAAACAAAAAACATACAACAGTGAGGATTCGCTGGTGGTCACCCACCCAACTACTAACTCACCGGCGTGTGGCTTAAGTACGGCTGAGCGGACGGGAAGCCCTGTTTTCCACACCCTATGGTCGTATGTATGAGGTCTCATGGAATAGAGACTCATAGACTAACGTAGTATAACTTAGTAGGTGGTGAGGGGTGAGGATGGACGAGAAGGTTGAGTGCACAATGACGGGTTGAGAAGAGGATCGATCACCCTCGGGCGACCGCCCTACTGCCCCTTCCAGCAAAATTGCCGCGCCTCAATCAAGTCGAGAATTTTAGAAAACTCCTATGTGCTTCGCTTGGTCTTGGTCCTTGAACTCTGGAGGTGCTTAAATGTGAGGACGTAGTCGATTGCATCGCAGCAACTGCAAAAAGCGGTTGTAGGTTCTGCGGCTGATCTTTTGCCCGCACAGCCGCGAATGTCCGGTCCCATTCAGCGCATTGCTTGTCCTCGATGGTTTGCGCAGCTGTCCCCTTGGCTCCTGGAAGTGTAGAGATACGGTCTGCCTCTTCGCCGCGGCAAACAAGTTCTAGATACCGTAAATCGGCTAGAGAGAAGGAGGTTACATTCACTAGGAGAGAATAGTCAGATAGGAAAATCTGTTATTGTGGACAGTGGACATCGTACCTTGCGTTCGGTTCTTTCTCTTATCAATATCAATGGCAAAAAAATAGATCAGCACATCTTCATCTTCGCAGTCGTCATCATCGCAGGTGCATTCTTCAGAATATGAAAGTCAAGAGGGTAAGGTGAGGTAAATTCATCATCATGGCCAAAACGCCATTTAACATCATAGGCCATACCGGCCGTGTCAGTGACCGAATTCAGCAAATTTCAATCTTGTCTGATACTCATGTCCAGTTTGAATGTGCACCCCAATACTTCGTGCGTAAGCCTCATCCATAATCAATACCTTTGAGCCAGAATCAGCCAGAGCACTCTGTACCTGACCATTGATAGACCCCTCAAACATTGGGGTAGATGCCCCAAGGTATATCAGATGGAACTGCGAGATACCTTTGGCGACTCTTTCTTTCACACGACGATAGAAATTGGCAACGTTTGAGAACGTCCGAGTGAGCTTCAAAAATGGCTTCCCAATGATCACATCGTGGATGCAGTTGGGGAGAAGCTGGAATTCAAGGTTGTGCACCTCTTTTTTCGCCGCTGAACCGGAATGGTACAGTTGCAGTTCCCGTAGTCGTCACTTGGTTCCCATGCCGATGGTGATTTCGCAAGTAGCATTCCGGCTTATTGGTAATCCTAAGCTAAGGGCATATCTTTCTTTCATGAAGTTTCTTTTTGCCCCGTAATCCCCAACCGCGTCGGTGGAATGCTCTGCCAGTTGACAAGGTATTTCGAAGATGCGCACCCCGCGATTAGTGGAAAGAGAACTTTTTGAGTCCGATTCTTGTAACATATATGGCCCACCTGGAGGATGTTGCGAACCCAAGAAAGAATAGTCATGCTCATATAAGAGTGTGCGATGTAAGGAGATCAGTGCTTGCCATTGCGACTGTGAGAGTTCAGCTTTCGATTCCGTTTGTTGCCTGTCGATCTTGATGCACTTCTTTTCCACCCTCACCAGCCCGGTATAGATTCCTTGTACTTCATCGATCAATTGCTCTTCTGTGAGATGGTTGGATTCTTGGTGTACGAGGAAACCGGCATCGCCATCCTGAATTTCCCTTATCGAGGGAGCTGTCGTGTCTGAATGAGCGGAACAGGCCGACGGAGGGCTTGAATCCAATGTGGGTAGTTCCGACTCTTTTGTTTTATCAGGAATAAATATTCCAGAAGTTCTCCTATGGGACGTAAGAATATGACTAAAATTAGACTCGACTAGTCACGAATAACACACCGTGGAGGATCGTCCTCGTTGACCTCCATGCTGATGGAGCTCTCCCTTGATTTGGACGCTTTGTTTTAAATTTGTGATTTGAACCCGGAATGGCAGGACTGTATAATATAAGTCAGGAATACGTGAGCTAAATCCATTGAAGTCCGTAGAACCGATCAGGCAGCCTAGCACAGCCACGTTAGGCGTGCTGACGAGGAAGAAAGTCACATGTGGCCGCTGGCTTCCCGCGGGGCGTTTCCCAGGGCTGACGGTCACATTAGCATGGATTCCAAACAGCAAATATTTACTTGCGACTGCAGTGTCGATGATCAAAGCTGCAGAGATCAATCAATATTGAGACGGAAATGAATATAGATCTGTGATTGGAGAAAATAGATAGCACAGTCTAACCTTTTGGAGATAGGCTGTGAATCAGAACTCTTCCATATTAGTCGATCTTGAATTTATAAGCAGTCTTTGGGGGCCAAGTGTATAACTAGATATTTAGCGGGGTTTCAAAGCTCATTTTGCTTTGTATTCTCAAAGTCCTCATACCCTAAATCTTCCTTATTTCACTTTCACAATGTCGGTTGGTCCTGATCTTGATGATGACGCTGTATTGAAATGGCTCGAAGCGGTAAGGCTATTTCTTCTAGCAAATCGCAGCACAATTAACTTGCAGCGACATTTAGTTCCACCGAGCGAGCGCTACTCTCAACACCGATCAGTGGCTTGATGAATTCATGACCGACGATGTGGAAATGCAATATGCAAATAACCCTGTGATCAAGGGCAGCGAAGTGCGGCAGATGTTCAAAGCCGTCCTCGGCCAACTGGACATGATGACCCACGAGATCCGCTACTTTGACTACGTCGCCCCTCGTATCTATCAAGCCGCAACCATCCGATATCTCGTCAAAGGAGACAGCCTAGACACCGACCAAATCACTATTCCAGGCTTTGCCGTCTTCTCCGTTCGGAAGGACGATGACGGGCGTGTAAAGTGCTACCGGGCAGAGACATTCCTGGAACCATCGGCATTGTTTCAACGAATGGCTGAAAAATCAAGCCAACCTTAGAATATTCGTGGTAGGCATATTGGTGGTTGAGGTGATAGACTTGATATCTAGACCATTACTGCATGTATCCATGTTTGCTTGGTTTGTTGTTCTGATATATTTCTACCATACACCAATGATCTATCCACAAATATGCCAATTCGTCTGATCTGCCTATAATCAATTCCTCTGATTTGTCCACAATTGTTAAAAATGATGCTATTCCCAGATCACCCCACCAATTCGTCTGATCTCTGTACAAATATAAATTCATCTGATCTCTGTACATATCCTCAAGGAAGTTTTATTTGATATAGTCCTCGGCATGTCAGATTTTAATGTCCTTACTTAGTTATGTGGTTTAGCGTAGTAATTTTTAATGCCAAAGACTTTCGTCTTTGTAGAATTTACCCGCTGGCCTTGAATATGCATATGCCGTGATGATATGGAACCCAAAGCTTTGCTATTTTGTTGAGATGCTATATCTTCAACTCACCAAGAATCACTTTACAAGTACGGGCGAATATGGTGACCCAGAGCTCTGTCAGCCAGAATATGGGCCCCCTAGATCCTAGTCAATTACCTTGGTTGTTGATGTGATATAGTGGTCAAAGTGTCCAATTTTGCTCCACAAGCTCCTTTTAGAACTACACTGACTTCTACTTGCTGCTGAATGCTGCTGAATGCTGCTCAAACAGGTGACGGATTCAAGTCATAAGCTACTTTAATTCCAATATAGTAAAAAGATAGATGAAGTGTTAGAGCTGTAAAAATGCGAATCATCTTTAAGTATGACAATGCAGAGGGTTCTACCTACTGCTCTCTAACCACCCTGTGACTCTACAATCCTCTTCTACTGGTAAGCTCATACATACGACCATAGGGTGTGGAAAACAGGGCTTCCCGTCCGCTCAGCCGTACTTAAGCCACACGCCGGTGAGTTAGTAGTTGGGTGGGTGACCACCAGCGAATCCTCACTGTTGTATGTTTTTGCTTTTTATTTGTTCACTATATATAGTAATAGTAGCATGTTCATCTTAGGCCCCGTTGTGGAACTCCATATAGAGTACGGAGTACAACAGAACATTTTAGGAATTAAGCTTAACGAGACATAAGAACACTTGATATATTGATCTATCTGACGCTATGACCATCTAAGGGCAGAGGTCACCTGACCCAATGGTAACGATGAGACATAAGCCGTGTTACTATCCCACATAGTCTATAGTTCTCAGCTATTATATGTTCCCCTCCAGTGCTATACCAAATACATACGACCATAGGGTGTGGAAAACAGGGCTTCCCGTCCGCTCAGCCGTACTCAAGCCACACGCCGGTGAGTTAGTAGTTGGGTGGGTGACCACCAGCGAATCCTCACTGTTGTATGTTTTTCCTTGTTGCTATTTTTGTGCTATTGGTCTATAATCCCCCTCCGATCCGAAACCCAGGAATTTCCATTGATACCCAAGTGTAATAATAATAATAATAATGTACACTATACATACGTACAAATAACCCTGCAACCCTTCCGTCACGGCCCGGGCCGTAGATACTTTAGCGTAGGTTTATTTAAAGTCTGAAAGTTTCAATTGCGTACCTAGTGTCTGGACTCTGTACCCTATGTGGTCTGGGTCTAGTACTATGTACTAAAGAGAGGTATGTTTTAAAAATTAAACGCCATATCCCGCAACAGGTACTCTAGCAGTCCCCGAGGTTGGGGTTTCACCTGGTTAAATCCATTGAGTATAACAGCTGTCAAGAATGGGATATGGCCCTCTAGGCCCTAAACAAGAACCTTCGTTCTTTTTAAGGTCTAGTGTAAATTACGCTGCACGAATTTCGTCAACAGCATCTACAGATGTATGGGTATCTCTCAGGATTCGGTAATGTGAGAACGGGGAAAGAAGCAAGAACATATGAGACTAGGAAATATTCAATACCACTCAACCATTATAACAGTAGTACACAACTTGAAGACAAACGGCAACAACTTGCCTGCGTACACACATATCATAGACCAGACGTATTGTGTAAAGGTTCGCAAAGGATGGGTCTTATTCCAACCCTTTGAGGACCCTTCAATTCAGAACGAGTGCTTAGAGAGAGAATCACGAGAATGCCCCTGAAAAACACCGTATACAGGCTCAAGATAACGCGGCGGGCTTTGGTAGGGACCCAAAGTATGAGGTTGAATTGTTTCCAGCAACTCCGCAGCCTCGATCATTCTGTCATCCCGTCGCACGCTCACGGCCCTCTGATACCTCCTCTGGATCATGCTAGGTGCCTCTCGTGCATAGCGCCGTAGTGCTGCTACTGCAGTTCTAAAGCCTTGATCGGATGGGCTGTCGAACTTGGCCATTCTTTGATGATCCGCAGCAATGCCACACCTTTCAGTGTTGTCAATTATTGGAGCTGCACTCGCCTCAGTGACGATGTAATCTCTTTTGTATTTGAGATCAGTCTTCTCTTGCTCCCAGAAGAAAAAGACGCGGAAGTTGGACATGAGCGGTGTAAATTGGTCGGTGATGTTTTGCAGGACTTCAGATTCCTTCTCGAGTGCATTGACCAATCCTGATTCAAGGTCTATAGCGGCTCTGGGGGTTGCAATTGATATAATCTTTTGAAGACTACTAAGGATATTCGCTTTGCTGGATCCTTGATGCGGGGTGCCGAAGAAGAGGATAGCAAATGTACAAACGTAGATTGAATGGATGTGAGCGAGTCCAACGCGACTCTCTGCATACGCCAAGGCCTATTCATGGTTAGCCAAGGGAACAATATTGGTCTTTACAACTTCCTTGTATGCAATCCTAAACAACTTACTCTTTTCACGATTATGCCGCCTAGGGAATGGCATATAAAAATGATGGGCCTTTCCGCTGCATTTTCGAGCTAAAACTGTCAGCAGGGCTTCATTCATATAGACTCAGACAGTTCCCTACATCCCTATCAGCCTCTAGTTGAGAGACTAATGTCTGCGCATGTTGTAAAACCCTGTCTGTGCTGGGTGCCTTTCCGTTCTGTGAAAAGATGCTCGCATTATAGCCCCATACTAAAACTCGGGCACGAGGAATGTATCTCGGGAGGAAAGATGCGTTGCTCAGCCAACAAATTCCTTGCGGCTTGGATGTCCATGACCCTGTCGCATGGCCATTGAGCCCATGGACGGCAACAATGCTAGTTATTGTCAACGAGATCCAACATTCCAATGATAACTAAACACTCACTCAACCTCAACTGGCTCCCCACACGGTCGATATAACTCTTGGATCCCGTAAATTTGCTTCGGAAATTCTTTGTTTCGACTCATTGTCATGGATTTTGAAGTTGAGTGTCGAATGTGGAGTAATAGTGTTGTTGAGAGTTGGTCAAGGTAGGTTGAAGTGCAATTTTGGTATTATTCTGACCCCTCATGAGGGACCTTACCAATGGCCTTTTATTGGGTATCTCGCCAGTGTGGCCCAATTTGTACTGCATTAGTGTACACACTAGTGGAATGAAAAATAATTGGTGAGACACTTCGCTTTGTACGGGGTGCATATCGCGATACCTGATTCTTGAGGTGTGTGGCTGTCTACCATCCCAATGACTATCTTTTAAGGACTTCCACTCTGCAGCCTTCAGCACGCGAGAGAACTAATGTTAGTCGCTGTCTTTCGGTTCCGACAGGCTGATTTGGCTCTCCCGCCGCCAACATAATCTGCGGAAATGTCTGTAGCATCCTCACGATTGTGTAAGAGATTTATTTCCATTCGAGCAAATTCCTCCCCCAAGCATCGACGGGGCCCGCGGCTGGAAGGAAAGTAGGCCCAGCCAATATTGTCAAGTTCGCCGGTTTCCCATCGCTCAGAACGAAATTCATATGCATTAGGGCCGTATATATTATTTTTCCTTGAATTCACGTACTGTGAATAAACAACAAGTTCACCCTTTCTCACTAGGATAAACACGACGACAGCCCAGATCATATACTTCTCAATCATATTTTCTTAATTCTTGTGTTATGATTTCGAAGGCTTTGGGGGCTGGGAAGAAGCTTTGTATATTGTACCCCCAATATAGGTGGCTGTTAGCGCCCAATTCATAGGCGAGATGCACTGTGTAAGCACTAATGCAGCTATATCACACGAGAATAAGACAAGGGTGGAGAAAGCGGTAAATCTCCCTTCCTGTCATGTGATAGGCTCGTAATCACGCAGATCACAACCTTTATGGGTCGATCGTGCATGTGCCTCAGAATACATTCTATGTATGCATGTGCCCGGGTGTTTTCAATTCCCTCATCATTGAACTCCGCACGCGGTTAGAAGTCTAGTTCCTTATCATCACTATGTCAATACATGTCTCTCTGTAAAGAACGATCAGAAATCTAACCTTACGCGATGCCACTAGGCCTTCATGTGCTTCATTCGCACAACATCAGCCATTGTGCGGCAGATTTGGATCAGAATGGTGGTGTCGAGTGAGAAATCCTAATTTTCTCCCTGGAGTTGGGCGTATTACATCGCTAACAAAGGATTTGATAGTATCGTCGCGGTCCATGGCTTGGGGAAAAACTCGTTAGAGACATGGACACATCATGAAACGGGTACTTTGTGGCTGAGAGACCTTCTGCCACGGAGTATCCATAATGCCCGAGTTCTCACATTTGATTATGACGCAAGTCCTTCCCTTTATACCGGAAAAGACTTCATGGACAGAGTTCAAAGTCAAGCAACTACCCTAGTGGCAGACTTGGAGGGCGAGAGGAGCCTAGAAAATGCTTCTAGGCGACCTGTCATCTTTATCTGTCACGGACTCGGAGGCATCATCGTGAAGAGTGCGCTCGTTCATTCAGCGAGTCGAACATCCCATTTCACATCACACCTCAATGCTATATATATCTCGACTTTTGCCATTCTGTTCTTCAGCACCCCCCATGATCAGATCGATGTTGGGAAATGGATTGCTTCAAGTACATCGACATCGACATCAAACTTCTTAACCCGCCGAGCGAAGGAGAGAATTAGCATGCCTGAAATGCCAATCACTGTGCATACTTTAGACGTCATCACAAATCAGTTCGCTCCACTCATGAAGAAGGTTCACATGTACCTTTTTTGGGAGGGGTTGAGAACACAGCTTACGAGCGGCGCGGAGTTTATGGTAGACCCGTCCTCTGCCGCTCCACATTTGTATGATACAGAAAGATGTGGAATTCCGAACTCCAACCACTCAGATATGACGAAGTTTCACCAATCTGACTCTGCTTATCGGACAGTTATATCTGCCCTGATGAAGTACTGCTACTCGGCGCCGGCAATTGTCACATACCGATGGAAAGAGGCAATGGAATCAATGATGCGGATGCGAAGAAATGAAGCCCGTGAATTAACGGGCCTATTTCTTGAAATTCCGGACAAAGTCCCGATCCCCACGGAGAGCAATACCGAAGCTATCGAAGCCTCTTTGCAAAATGAATATTTCCACCCACCATGCACTGTTTCCATGGACTTTATAGGTCAGGAGGACATCATGAACACACTCCAGGGTGCCTTTGAACCAGAAGACCAGACATTGGTGGATAAACAGCAAAAGCGATTTGTCGTCTATGGAATTGGGGGATCTGGGAAGACACAAATATCCGCAAAATATGCCCAAAGTAACCGACAACAGTAAGTATTTGAACACCTAAATATCGATTCTCACTTACTGACATATGCTTTGTTCAGTTATTGGGCAATCTTTACTATCGATGCAACTTCGGCCCAGACCGCGAAAGAATCATTCTGTAAAATCGGACGTATGGGGGGTCTCGAAGCCACCGAAGACTCTGGTAAACATTTTCTTTCCCAAGCTCGAAAGAATTGGTTGCTCATAATCGATAACGCGGACAAGCCTGGCCTCAAGTTCGAAAACCTCATTGTGCCTGGAGAAAGAGGTCATATCCTCGTAACTACAAGAAATCCCAGCCTTCGAAGGCAAGGTAACGTTGGGAGTATGGAGGTCAAAGGTCTTAAGCAAAGAGATGCTCTCCACCTTCTCATGAAAGTTGCAGATATTCTCCCGCCGTGGGATTTGTCCTCTGAAACGGCAGCAAATGAGATTACCAAGACACTGGGATATTTGGCCCTTGCAGTCATTCAGGCGGGCAACTCAATTTACAACAAAATATGCAACTTAGAAGAGTACCTCGGGTTCTACAGACGCTTTTTGGAAAATCGCCAGAGAAGAAAATCCGTTTCAAACACTGAAGATGTTGTCGGTGGGGAAGTCGAGAATGATGATATCTATTCGGCATTTGATTTTTCATTCCAACACATCGTGTCCAACAATACGATCCCAAGTCAGGATGCAGTGGAGATCCTCAACATTGTGAGCTTCTATCACTTTGATAATATACGAGTTGACATCTTCGAAAGAGGCATGAGCCTTGAGCGAAGCCAGTTGCGTCAATATCCAACCAGATCCCTTCAGGAAGGATTTGTACAAGCTATTGTCAGTCGCTTCAGACCACCTCGGGCACTTCCCCGAATACTCAAGCAAAGTGCGGATGATATGCATCCATTGTGCATCAGAGAGGCTCTTCGCGAGTTGTATTCGTCCTCATTGATAACATATGAAAATGACGAACAGAGTTTCTCATTACATCCTTTGGTCCATGCTTGGGCAAGAGACCGCATACCTCCCAAGGAGAGGAGCCTCTGGGCAATAATTTCCTTTCATACACTCATGGCCTCCATACCACTCCCTCCGATGGAAACGGGGGAGTCCCACACTAGTTTTCGGAGGAGTCTAATTCCTCACCTTAACGAATGTCTGGAGGCCTGTCCGATAGAGTTTAGAGAATTCTCTGGGCTACACATTGGAAAATACCGTCGATTTACGTTACTGTTCCAGCCCACTTTACTGTTCTCAATTCGAGAGATGATTCAAAACGCTGCAAAGTGTGGGATTCTGCACGCCGAGAAAGGTGATTTTTCGAAGTCCGTATATTACCTTTTTCTGGCAAAGGAGTCGCTGGTTACGCTTTTCGGCCCGAACGACGCAAAGACAACAACCACGATGTTAGGATTGGCCAGTATACTTTGGGGTCTAGGGCGCTTAAAAGAAGCCATAGCCTTGCAAGAACAGGTTGTCGAGTCGCGGCAGAGATTCTTAGGACCAGATCATCGTGAAACTCTACTGGCTATGGACTCCCTTGGTCACTCTTTCTGGCTCAGTGGACAATATTGTGAAGCTCTTCAACTTCAGCAACAAACTGCCGAGAAAATGCAGGCACACCTCGGCGAAGGAGATGACGACACGCTCAAAGCGCTTGATCACTTGGGTGTCACATTAGGCTCTTGGCACCGGTTTAGAGAGAGTAGAGACATACATCAGAAGGTTCTGGAAATTCGAATACAAAGTCTGGAGGAGAGTGACTTGAGGGTCCTCGAAACGAAGAACAATCTGGCGATGGCCCTATATGATCTAAAAGAGCTTGATGACGCAATATCCTTGATGGAGGAAGTCTATAACGGCCGCAGGGCCCAGATGGGCAAAGAGCACCCCTACACTCTCTGGGCGCTATGCTACCTAGCGAAGATATACACTGAAATGGGAGAGTTGCAAAAATCCGAGGATATTCTCATTGAGGGCATCGCCGCTGGTAAACGAAGCCTTGGTGAAGATCACCTTGGGGTTTTGATAGGCTGCGGGGAACTTGCTCGAACTTATTCTCGTCAGGGTCGCCTAGACGAAGCTGTGAAACTGATTATCACGACCATCGAGAAGATCAAGCTTTTTCGAGGTAGCGAGCACCCCGACTACGCTACCGGAATGTGGAGTTTGGGCAAGGTATGGGAGAAAAAGCAGGAGCAAGCCAAGGCAATCAATGCCTACCAAGTCGCGTTGGAAGCGACAGAAAAGAGGTTAACAACAGAGCATCCGCTCTACAAGATTATCTCGGATCGCATCATTCTCCTAACAGAGGGAGCTCACAGCAATGACTACAAAGAGGCTACAGAAAATGGCTCGGTCACAAATGGCGTTGAGGATCTGCGAATCAAACGTTTGCATAATACGCAGACATGGTAGAAATAGCATGCTTAACTAGTCCCTTTGATGTGTTACTATTGATGAAGTTGATGTTCTACTAATTAATATTTTCCCATGTATTACGACATCTTTGTCGTCACCTCGTATATCAACCGGAGATAAATATACTTGGAAGGCCGAGAGTCTAGCTATCAACATGATGAATTTCAAAGAAAATCTTCGACTCGGGCCCTATATATAACTCTCTCGGTCGGCAGCATTCACTGATTTACCTAGTCAAGTACGCTGACATACCTGTATCCCAAACTCACAGGACATGAAGCGTAGCGTCGTCATGATTGACACTGCTTAGATTCACGTAGCAAAAACAAAAACATACAACAGTGAGGATTCGCTGGTGGTCACCCACCCAACTACTAACTCACCGGCGTGTGGCTTGAGTACGGCTGAGCGGACGGGAAGCCCTATTTTCCACACCCTATGGTCGTATGTACTTGGCGTAGCACTGGAGGGGAACATATAATAGCTGAAAACTATAGACTATAGCCGTGGGTAGGATGGTAAGACGACTTATATCTCATCGTGACCATTGTGTCAGGTGATCTCTGCCCCTAGATGGTCATAGCGTCAGATAGATACGTTAAGTGCTCGTATGTCTCGTTAAGCTTAATCTCTAAAAAGTTAGGGTAGTGATATGACCACCCCCCTGCCTGAATTTTCAGTCACCGCCTTCTTAATCAGGTACCACCCATAATTCTGTCATGTTTCCACACTTTGTTTTTTTTTTCTGCCATATATTCTGCCCATTTCTGGTTTATATAGTAAAAATAAAAAAGACATACATTTTGATCAGAAAAAATCGTACATTTCATTGACTCTATATTGATCTACCCTACAAATTGATCCTGCAAACTGATTACCATACTTAGTTGTACTTTCGCTCCTTCCCCGAGCTACCATTTGTATAGTTTACAAGAAGGATAGGTATAAAATTGGAGGTGACAAAAGTGACTTAATTTTGCTAGGGGCTTATACAAATTACAGGTATCTCCCGTCTTATACTATTGTATGACTTTTCGGCCGGAAAGTGCAGAGCTTATTTTTCTGCAGAAAAGATTACAAAGCGGTAACTTTCTGCAGTCTAATATTATTTATAAAAGCGGTATCCAAATTAAGAAGGCGGTGACTGAAAATTCAGGCAGGGGGGTGGTCAGATCTAAGGGGGGGGTGGTCATATCACTACCTAAAAGTTATTATAGACTTCCACAACGGAACCCAAGACAAATACATATGATATTGCTATATTTCATTCACACCGATAAAACAAAACAAAAAACATACAACAGTGAGGATTCGCTGGTGGTCACCCACCCAACTACTAACTCACCGGCGTGTGGCTTGAGTACGGCTGAGCGGACGGGAAGCCCTGTTTTCCACACCCTATGGTCGTATGTGCTTGACATACAACTAGAGAGAAATATATAATGCATGTAGTTGATGAGAGGGTCCTGCAAATTGTTGGCATACAACATTGTATGTTGTAGTCGAAAATCACTACTGGCACAGTCGTCTAACCTAATTAGGATAGGTCGCTCTTGGCAATGTTATTTCATTACTCCGTACACCTCCGAATAACATCAGCCACATAACGAGTACTCCCTTAATGATCTCGACAGTCTAAGGTCTCCAGATAGTCATTGCATAGCGAAGCGACTGATTTCACTTCTAATGCTACGCAAAGCCCCCCTCTTAGTGGCTTATTGGCTTTTTACATTTGATAATCACTTTTCACAACAAACCTCTGGCATCATCCATCGCGCAACCTATGAAGTTTGCGTCTGGAAGTTCATCACGTCGGCAGCCCATGACGGCAAGCCGCCTAATGCAGCTGAGACTTGCCCGCTTTCTTACTCGTGGCGAGAGCACCGGCCAGGCCGAATTGAGAAGAGACACCGTTAATACGATGAGTTGAGTTCAGGTTCTTGACTACAACCATCTGGTAACAGGTGGCCATGTCTTCGCGAGAGGCGATAACGGACCAGGCGAGGAACAGCTCCCAGATCTAGGGCATGTTAGGTTTCATGGAAAGTACTATGGTAGACGGGGGAAAACTTACTCTATACCATCTGGGGCCATATTTGGCCTTGATCGGTTCCACATTTCCAATCCAGTTCCGGTACCATCGCCAGAGGGTACCGGAGTAATGCACACCGACAGTATCAATGCTGGTCATTATCAGTAAATGCACTTGCGAGAACAGTCCTAGAACCTGAGTAAAACTCACCCCTTAAGTTCGAATCCAGCTTGTTCCAGACACTTGACATAGTACCACAGAGGAGTTGAAGCATCCGCGCCACGGAAGATGTACTTATTCAAATACAGACCCCAAATGAAATCTTCGTACTGCCACGCCTGACGCAGACCTGAAAGCTGAACATACATAGCACCATCGTCATTGAGCATATCATAACACTGGCGGAAGAACGTGGTAAGCTTCCGGATACCAACGTGCTCGCCCATTTCCAACTGCGTGATCTTGTCATATTTTGTCCGTGGGATATCGCGGTAGTCGAGGCAGAGAATACGACTCTGTTGTTCAGGAATCCCGGCCTTGCGGAGAGCGTCATTGCCCCAAGCGGTTTGATTCTCCGCGATAGTAAGCCCGGTGACTTTAGCGCCGTAGTTGAGACTGGCAAATTTGGCGAAGGTTCCCCAGCCGCAGCCAATATCTAGCATGGTCTCGCCTTCCTTGAGGCCAATCTTCTCGCAGACGACGGCCATCTTGTTATCTTGCATTTCTTCGAGGGTCTCTTCCTTCTCCGGGTCTGAGATGATGCCAGAGGTATAGATCATGCGAGGGCCAAGGAACCAAGCATAGTGGTCGTTACCGCGATCATAGTTGGGACGGATCTGTTCCTCATCTTGGGCTTTGGTGTGGAAGATGATGTCCTTGAAAAAGGTGAAAAAGATGAACTTGAAGAGGCCCAAGGTAAAAGAGAAGTTTGCCCAGTCGTGACGGTATTCCATCACCTCGAGTGCGTCGCCGTTGAAATCCACCAAGCCGTCCAGGTACATTTCCGCAAATCGCTGGATGGGAACTTTGTTGTTTCCGTGCCATTTCGCTTTATCCGCTTCGCGCTTGAAGGTCAAGTAATATTCAATGGGTCGTCCGGGTAGCTTGACTTTTTCGTTGGTGCGGGGGCTGCAGCTGGATTTCCAGGACCAGAATACAACCAAAAGAGGAAGGAAGAGAAGGATTAAAAGGAAGAAAAATGTCTTCTTTCCTCCATTGAGCAGGTAGGTAAGAATTGTAGGAATTCCGGCGAGGACGCCGCCTAGGAGGAGGTTCGAGAAGCTTTCATTTCCGGGGCCATCCGCGGGCATTGTGAATGGCTGGGAACTATTTGGAGGGATTAGCCAGGTTGAAGGCAGGAGGGAGGTCAATGGCATGAACTCACGTTTGTCAGAGCAATTCCACAGTCCTCTCCGGTCTGGAGCTTCGCAGGTTTGGCTGCAGGAGTCTTGATGAAGTCGATGTCGCCAGACAGCTCGACTTCCTTGACTCCTTTAGCACTCATTGTCGATTGTTCTCCTATATGCACAATCGAGGATGGGGAACGAGAAATCACGTAATAATGAATGGGAAGACGGGAGGGGATATGGACATCGTGTTCGAGGATATTATAGACCTGATAAACGCGGTAATCGATAAGGTATAGGGTTCCACCATGTGGGTCATCGGTCCCCGCGGGCCCCGTTAGTGTACACGTTGCAGGCACTCTCAGGTTCAAGTTTCACATTCCAAATGGGCTTGCTTTGTCAACAAGCGGACTGCTCTCAAAGACTTATTGGACCAACTTGTGAATTTCAATAAAGGCATCGAGGCCGAAGAGGAAGCCCAGTCTGATGGGGTTTTGGATCTCCACTACTTTTGTCCAGGTGCTTCGCCCGCCCATCTACTCCAGATCGCAAGTCTCTTATCCCTTGCCCCGAATCGTGACAAGTCTTTTGCGCTTGAGTGTCTTCGTAGCTTTTGCTTTTCGCGGAAAGAATTCTTGCATCCTATTCATGCAATGCCTAGGTTGATCCCACGACGGCGCATGGTAATTGCTAATCCATATGGCCCGAATACACGTCCACTCAGGTCATTCCAAAGCTGCTCAAGAAGCAAAGCAGCCTGCAAGCAGTGCTGCATGTGGAATCTGTTAGACCGCAGGCCATCTAGGAGTGACTGTCGTTGTTCAGTTCGCAACATGCAGGAGCCTGCAATAACCAGAGGACCCAGGAATATAGTCTCATAAGGTGATCCAGCGGCCTGCTCTGCGTATAGCATGATGTTGTCGATATGCTTCTGTACTTTCGCCAACGTTACAGTGTCATTTGATGCATCTGGGACCATTGCGGTCCTGAGGTAGAGGAGGGTAGCCTCCCGGCAGAGACTGAGTGCTGTATCTCGTTGCGGCTGCGATTTCTGGCCAGTGACTGCAGAATCTGGAGGTTTATATTCTGTTATTCGGGCGTAGAGTGCTAGGTGCATCTCTAAGCTCGCCTGTGAAGGGGTTCGCTCTGTGAGACGTCGGGCGGCAAGAACTGCTATGTCAGGCAGAATTTCGAATAAGCCATGGGTGTCGCCGAAGACGACTCCCCATGTGTCGAAATGGTTCATTGTGCCGAGGATGCCGTCGAGGAATGTGTCTTGAGGCACGGTTCGGCGATTGATAGAGCCGTAGGGGACGATATTGTTACTGAGAATGAAAAAGCGATATATCTCCAACACAAATGCAAACAGGCGTCCGTTGTCATTGATGCTTGACGGTAACGAGCTATTGGCTAATTGGATAATGATTTGGCGGCTTGCGCGGAGGTGGCTAAACATTGCCCCTGGTCATCCCCAGATAGTGTCTAGACATTGCATTAGTGAGCCTTTTATGGACACGAGGCCTAAAACCCATGTAAATACCTCGAAGAACGATAGTATCATCAGGGTCAACAACATTCGTAGTGCTTGAGGTACATCGAATGCTGTCTGGTCTGATATACAATCCCGAATTGTCCTTATCACGACCGAGTAATGTCTGTATGTCGCGAGAGATACTTCGAGCCCAGGGTTTCGGGACTTCATGTGGGCCCCACTAAGCGCCAGCAAAGAATGCATGAGCAGGTCGTCATTGCAGCACAGAGGCACAAGTAGAGTCACAAACGGGTTATTGCCATGTGGAGAAAAGGAAGACAGAACGTTGGCCGTTTCAGTTATGTAATGTGTAAAGAGAAGGTTTGATGTCTGTGTAAGCGTTGAAGCTTTCGTTGGAGACACGAACGAGCCTGTGAGACTCGACCATTGAGCCGATGGGTCGAGCTGATCTGGACTATTTTTATAATCTTGTGACGCAGCTCGGACTATCGATTTCTGAGACTTTGAGCGCGGACCAACAACCGGCCAGGAACATTGTAAGCTGTTACGTGTGCATCCAACGCATTTTGGTTTCCTCTCATCGCATTTTTTTCTTGCGCTGGCGACATGTGAGGCACCCTGTCAAGGAGCGGAACCGGTGTTGTTTCGTAGGGGCTTGGCTCGTCCGGGGTGTCGTGGGCTCCGCGCCGGTCGAAAATGGCGCCAGCATGCCCTTGCAAAGCGGGAATTTGGGCGACGAGCTAGCTGATACAAGCTAGTCTAGAACACAAGGTTTGAGAGAGGCGAGACGTCGGCTGAACCGAGGTCTGTGTCGATCTGGGCGTGCAGCTTGAGGCCCCAACTCAATCCAGCTCCTCTTTTGTGGGCCTTCTTATCTGTAGGGGCTCATGTGGATAACTCAATATCAATTCACGCTCCAGCTCGGCGTCAGCGGAGCGGGGAACTCAAGTATAGACCGCTTTCGACACCGCTCTATACCGTGTACTGTAAATTGAAGCTATTCCTACAGACCATACTCCGTACTAATCACTAGCTGGGCGTTGAGACCCGTATCCGACCGTACAAACGGTTGAATTGAAGCTATCTCGACCCCATAAATCATCAGTTTCTTTGAATCCTGGGCGTTAAGAACCGCCTCCGACCGCACAAAACGGGAAAGATGTATGGTGGGAATAGCTTCGTTTTTTGAACTGAGTTCCAAGGTTCCAAGGTTAGATACTTTGCTTTTTAAGCCCGCTGTCATGGTAATTCGGGTTTACAATTCAGACATGTTCAGACATTAGGCCTGAAAAATCAGGCATTTGATCCTTCGCACACTGCCAACACAATTTTCCCCGAGACAGTAGCCGCCCCCCCTTTTCATATTCCTCCACTTATATACAAATTTACAGAATGCCGCTCGAGGCAAGACAAGATCATCATGTGTGGATGCTAGCCACTCTTGCCAACTGGTACTGGGAATGCTTCGAGAACAACTGAACGATAGTAACCAGCTTGTCCAACAGGAACCCAACGCTGCGTTGATCCATGGTCTCCTCAGTAGCTGTGACCATGAGCTCAAGCCGAGATCCGTGTTCTACAGAAATGATACCCAGCTGACCGTGCGCCAACTTGGAGCTGGCCCAGTCGCAACCAGACGACGAGCGAACACCGCCCATCTCGAAGGGCTCCGCAGATTCTTCGCTCTGGTGGTGCACAAGACAAGCCATTTTTGAGCCAGGTTGCCACTCTGTGCAAAATTCTGCGATCGCGTCAAACGATGCCTCATCATGGGCAGTGATCGCTAGCTGCTGCACCTGGACATGATGCAAGAAATCCTCCACCGTCCAGTCAGGTTCAATTCTGATTCGAACGGGCAGATGATTCAAGCAGGGTCCAATGGCCGTATTCGGGCCCAAGGGACTTCCACGCCCGTGCATAACCTGACCTAAAATGATATCAGATCGCGCAGTTTCCTCAAAGAGAACCCATGAGAGAGCTGCTTTCACGAGCGTTGACACGGTCATGTCCGGTGCGAGAGAGGGCATTGCCACTTGGCGCCACTCGACTATGTCATTGTCTGAGATTCGTGCCTTCCCAGTTTGATCAAGGGGGTCAAGGGCAGCGCACGGAGCACCTTGAAGATATCGTCGCCAGAATGAAATCTCGGCTTTGTTCAGATCGCCCATTCGCCTATAAGCGACATCCTTGAATTGTGCAGCCGGTGTGAGAGGCTCATTCTGATAGGCTTTTTTGATTGTCTCCCACAGCAACGGTATGGAGGCCCCATCATACTGCGCATGTGATATGCGAAGAATCAATGCAGAGCACTGTTTGATGCCGCTAGTCACGAGAGTGAAGCTGACTGGCATTATACCTTGGGCTGTAGAGGGTGGATCCTTTTGCTCAGACTCTCGAGCAACATATGCCTCTGGATCATCACATTGAACAACATTTAGCACAGGCTCAACTTCCCGGAGGATCACCTGGAAGAACCGGCCATTGGCCTCCATGAATACCGTGCGGAGGATGCTGTGGTGAGCCACAACCTGCCTGCACGTGCCCTCCAGTCTATCGATATCCAGGGCTGCTGGGAATACTTGTGCCATCGAGACTGGCGATGAATGGGTTATGTAAAAGACTTGGAATGGAAGCGCTGGGATGATATCTTCCACATTATCTTTGACCAACGAATGTCCCGTTGCGGAGTGCCAAGCAAAAAGTTCTGCGTGCTCGTCATCTGTAATCAGGGAGTAGGGTATATTGTGCTGCGAGGAAGAAGCTGCAGTCTGTATCCCATCTATGATATCGCCGGGGTTCAAGGTGGTAGCATGTTCGGCAACGCGCATTATTGTTTTCCACTGGAACAAACTCTCCACTGAATGCTCAATCCCGGCTGCCCGAGCCCTTGATGCGGCTTTTAGAGCCGAGATCGAATCACCTCCCAATTGGAAGAAGCTTTCCTCAGCACCGATCTCGTCGGGTGCAATACCGAGTACTTTCGCCCAGATGTGCTGCAATTCCCGCTCCGTTCCCATGGCGGGCATTCGCTTATCTGAAGGAGCTTCAGCGAACAATGACTCCAGCTGAACACGCGTTGCGCTCGCCGCTGAGTCTCTCAATCGCTTTCGGTCTACTTTGCCACTGGCGGTGTGAGGTATCCGTCGAAGCGGCACGAAGGCAGACGGTACCATATAGTCTGGAAGGATGTCGCCTAGTTGGCGTCTGACACTTGATATCTGGGCCGTAAAGTTGGTCGGGGCAACAATTTCCAAGGAAGCGATAGACGAGATCGATACCGGTGGCGCCATCTCAGCCGATTTCGAAGCGACAAAGACAACCAAACATTTGGAATTCATCGAAGCCATCGGAGTCACAATCTCCGCCACGATGTCCGTCAGATCTTCGGGCCAAATCTCCTGCAGTCGCTTCTCAACTTCTGCAAGCTCAAAGCGTTGACCTCGTAGCTTGACCTGGAGGTCCTTTCGTCCTACAAACGAGAGAGATCCGTCCTTCTCATAACGGACAAGGTCTCCTGTTCGATACACCCGGCCACCACTAGTGAGGCCAACACGGCGCATCCATGTTGGACATGAGATAAAGTTTGTAGCTGTTTGGTCCGGACTGTTCAGATATCCGCGACCCACCAGAGGCCCTTGAAGAAGAAGCTCGCCCACAGCACCAATAGGAGCGACTCGGTGGGGATTCCGTGGGTCGGTCACCCAGCAGGCCCCTGCAATCGGGAAACCGATATTCCCGCCTTGCGAGTTAGAGTCAATCGGGGACTGCACAGTAAACACGACCGTGCATTCTGCTGGACCGTAAACGGGTACGAGGCGTGCATGTGGCACCCACTGCTGGATGTCACTCGACCGAAGGGGCTCTCCACCAAGCATGATCGTTCGGAGTGATCCCAACTCATTTGGTGTCATTGCGCGCAATACACTGGGGGTTAAATGAGCATGAGATGGTTGTAGCCCTTTCAATGCCTCGGTCAGTCGGCCTCTCCGCTCAGCCTCCGTCAAGACGCAGATGCAAGCACCCGCAAGCAATGGACCGAGTATCTCCAAAATACTCACGTCGAAAGCATAGGAGGAGAAGTTCAGCACGCGGGAACCTGGGCCAATATCCATAAGACGAGAAACTTCTCTGGTCATTGTCATAAAAGAACCATCCTCAATCACAACCCCTTTGGGTTTACCGGTTGAGCCAGATGTAAATACCGCATAAAGAGCACGATCGGTACCAAACCGGGTCGTCTCACGATCTGGCATCGATGTGCACTCTGAGTCGATGCTCTGAGGCATGATGAGGACATTGTGGAACAGCGCCTCAGCTTTCTGAAGATGCTCTGGCGATGTAAGTATGAAAGGAGGCTTTACCTCCTCGCAAATATTCCGAAGCCGCTCTTGTGGATGCGAGGTGTCAAGAAGGACGAAGGCTGCCCCTGCCTTGAGCACGGCCAACACCGCTACCACAGTCCAGCAGGACCGATCCAAGTATATTGGAACAAAGACCTCTGATGTGGCTCCCTGCAAACGCAGAAGGCCAGCGATGTTGCTCGAAAGAAGGTCTAGTTCCTTATAAGATAGGCTGAGGTTGGAAGACGAGACGGCTATACGCAATGGTTGCTTCTCACAATGCTGGGAAATCACATCAGTGACCGATAACGGACATCGTGACGGGAATCCAATGTTCCAGGCTTGCAGCTGCTGGATATCTTTGTCATTTAGTGTAGCAATTTCGTGCACCAGTCTTCCTGGATGATGGTGCACCTGCTGCAAAATGTGGCTGAATTGATCTAGCATATGTTCCACTTGCCATGGTGGAGTGACACGCTCATCAGTGGACATGGCAACAGTCACCACATTTGGCTTGAGCATAACGGCTAACTGGATGGCATATGTATTTGACGCAGCATCCCCGGACGATGTTCCCATGGGTTCCATAGGATCATTGGCGGTTCCCAAGTTCTCAACCTCTCC